TGCAACTTCCTTGGCCATCAAGTCCTGGAGTGGGCCTTGTGAATCTGGTGTTTATGGCTCAGGCAGGAATACTGTCATTTATGTCACAAGGCTTATCCAAAAAGATTAACTGGACATCATTTCATTGTCATTTGTACCAGCTTTATTGTGAAAAATTGCCTGCCTGCTTTCCTGACATTGCAATAGTGATGACATTTTAAAATAGCTTCATTGATAGTGAAGGCTTTGGGACATGTGACACTAAAATTGTTTTGCAGACATGGTGGGTGGTGGTAAATGGGTAAGATGCTGACAGCTGAACCAAACTAATGTAGGGCAAATTTCTTCTGTAGTGAGTTCATTTGAAATTTTTTTTTCTATTGTGCGATGTGGGCGTTGCTGGCTGGCCAGCATCTCTCACCCATCTTTAGTTGCCCTTGAGAAGGTAGTGCTGAGCTGCCGCCTTGAACCACTGCAGTCCTCCTGCTGTGGATCGACCCACAATGCTATTAGGGGGGGAATTCCAGGATTTTGACCCAGTGACAGCGAAGGAACAGCGATATATTTCCAAGTCAGGGTGGTGAGTGACTTGGAGGGGAACTTGCAGGGGGTGGTATTCCCATGTATCTCTTGCCCTTGCCCTTGTAGATGGAAGTGGTCATGGGTTTGGAAGGTGTTGTCTGAGGATCTTTGAATTTCTGCAGTGTATCTTGTAGATAGTACACACTGCTGCTACGGAGCGTCGGTGGTGGTGGAAGTGGATGCTTGTGGATGTAGTGCCAATCAAGTGGGCTGCTTTGTCCTGGATGCTGTCAAGCTTTTAGTGTGGTTGGAGCTGCACTCATCCAGGCAAGTGGGGAGTATTCCATCACGCTCCTGACTGTGCCTTGTAGATGGTGGACAGGCTTTGAGGAGTCAGGAAGTGAGTTACTCGCAGTATTCCTGGCTTCTGGCCTGCTCTTGTAGCCACTGTGTTTATGTGGTGAGTCCAGTTGAGTTTCTGGTCAATAGTAACTCCCAGGATGTTAGTGGGGATTCAGTGATGGTAATACCATTGAACGGTGGTTAGATTGTCGCTTATTGGCGATGGTCATAGCCTGGCATTTGTGTGGCATGAATGTCACTTGTCACTTGCCACTGGTCAGCCCATGCCTGGATATTGTCCAGATCTTGTTGCATGTGAATACGGACTGCTTCAGTATTTGAGTCATGAATGGTCCTGAACGTTGTGCGATCATCGGCGAACATCCCCACTTCTGACCTTATGATGGAGAGAAGGTCATTGATGAAGCAGCTGAAGGTGGTTGGGCCTAGGTCACTACCCTGAGGAACACCTGCAGAGATGTCCTGGAGCTGAGATGATTGACCGCCAACAACCATGACCATCTTCCTATTTGTCAAGTATGACTCCAACCACCGGAGAGTTTGCCCCTTGATGCCTGTTGATTCCAATTTTGCTAGGGCTCCTTGAGGCCACGTTTGGTGAATACAGCCTTGATATCAAGGGCTGTCACTCTCACCTCACCTCTGGAATTCAGCTCTTTTATCCATGTTTGAACCAAGGCTGTAATGAGGTCAGGAGCTGAGTGGCCCTGGCGGGACCCAAACTGGGCCTCATTGAGCAGCTTATTGCTTGATAGCACTGTTGATGACCCCTTCCATCACTCTACAGATGATCGAGAGTAGACTGATGGGGCGCGATAATTGGCCGGGTTGGATTTGTCCTGCTTTCTGATTATAGAACATACTTGGGTAATTTTCCACATTGTTGGCTAGATACCAGTGTTGTAACTGTACTGGAACAGCTTGGCTGGAGGAGTGGCAAGTTCTAGAGCACAAGTCTTCAGTACTATTGTCGGAATGTTGTCAGGACCTGTAGCCTTTGCAGTATCCTCTGTTTCCAACTGTTTCTTGATATCACGTGGAGTGAATGGAATTGGCTGAAGACTGGTATCTGTAATGCTGGGGACCACTGGAGGAGGCTGAGGTGGATCTTACACTCGGCACTTCTTGCTGAAGATTACTGCAAATGCTTCAGCCTTATCTTGTGCACTGATGTGTTGGGCTCTTCCATCATTGAGGATGGGGATATTTGTGGAGCCTGGATGTGGCAGGACTGCAGAGCTTAGATGTGATCTGTTGGTGTGGGATTGCTTGGCTCTGTCTATCACTTGCTGCTTTTGCTGTTTGGCGTGCAAGTAGTCCTGTTTGGTGGCTTCACCAGGTTGATACCTCATCTTCAGGTATGCCTGGTGCTGCTCCTGGCATGCCCTCCTACACTCTCCGTTGAACCAGGGTTGATTCCCTGGCTTAATGGTAATGGTTGAATGGGGGATATGCCGGGCCATGAGGTCACAGATTATGCTGGAGTACAATTCTGCTGCTGTTGATGGCCCACACCGCCTCATGGATGCCCAGACTTGAGTTGCTGGATCTTTGCGCAGTTTGTCCCATTTAGCACAGTGATAGTGCCACACAACACAATAGGAGTTGTTCTCAATCTGAAGGTGGGACTTCGCCTCCACAAGGACTGTGCGATGGTCGCTTTTACCGATACCGTCATGGACAGATACACCTGCAGCTGGCAGATTGGTAAGGATGAGGTCAAGTACGTTTTTCCCTCTTGTTGGTTCCCTCACCACCTGCCGCAGACCCTGTCTAGCAGCTATGTCCTTTAGGACTCGAGCAGCTCGATCGGTACTACTGACATTGAAATCCCCACCCAGAGTACATTTTGTGCCCTTGCCGTCCTCAGTGCTTCCTCCAAGTGTTGCTCAACATTGAGGAGTACCGCTTCATCAGCTGAGGAGGACGGTCTGTGGTAATCAGCAGGAGGTTTCCTTGCCCATGTTTAACCTGAAGCCACAAGACTTCGTGGAGTCTGCAGTCAATGTTGAGGTCTCCTAGAGCAGCACCCTCCCGACGGTATACCACTGTGCCACCCCTTCTCCTGGGTCTGTCCTGCCGATGGGACAGGACATATCCAGGGATGATGGTGGTGGTGTCTGGGACATAGTCATACTCACAGAATCATACCTTATAGACAATGTCAGGCTGTTGTTTAACTAGTCTGAGACAGCTCTCCCAATTTTGGCACTAACCCCCAGAGGTTAGTGAGGAGGGCTTTGCAGGGTCGACAAGGCTGTTTCTGCCGTTGTCTTTTCTGGTGCCTAGGTTGATGCCAGATCATCCGTCCAGTTTCACTTCTTTGTGACTTTGTAGCGATTAGTATAACTGAGAGGCTTGCTAGGCCATTTCAGAGGGCATTTGAGAGTCAACCACATTGCTGTGGGTCTGGAGTCACATGTAGGCCAGACCAGGTAAGGACAGCAGATTTCCTTCCCTGAAGGACATTAGTGAACCAGATGGGTTTCCCCGACAATCGGCAATGATTTCATGGTGATTAGTAGATTCTAAATTCCAGATATTTTATTGAATTCAAATTCCACCATCTGCCGTGGTGGGATTCAAATCCGGTTCCCCAGAACATTCGCTGGGTTTCTGGATTAATAGTTTAGTGCTAATACCATTAAGCCTGAAACTCTCCCTATCGTATTCACTTCCCCTCCTTTGGTCTTTACAGTCACTGACATTTTGGTGATCAGAAGGTGTTGCTATTTAATGATTTCTCAGTCTTTCTGATTAAAATGCACGTAAATAAGCTTAAATCCCTTTTTGATCCTTGTATGATCCAATTTAGCAATGGTGCATCATATAAAAGCAATTTGTTTATATTCTACTGCATGATCTCGACTGGGGTGTGCAAGGCATAATTGAAAAATTAACAGATGACAAAACTTGAAAGTGTAGTGAACTGTGTGGACAATCATGTTGAACTTCATGGGGATGTAGACAGGTTGGTGGATCGGACAGACAAGCGGCAAATGAAATTAATGTAGACAAACGTAAAATGATTCATTTTGGAAGAAAGAGTGAGGAGAGGCAATACAAAATTAAGAGTGCAGTCCTAAAGCGGTAGAAAAGCAACAGCACCTGGGTGTGTATGTGTACAAATCATCCAGGTGACAGGACAAGTTGAGAAAATGGTTAATCATAAAATATGAGACATTCTGGCCTTTCTGAAGTGTTGCATTGAATACAAAGACAGGGAAGTTGTGATGAGCCTATATAAAACACTAGTTCAGCCTCAACTGAGGTAGCGTCCTGTTCTAGCACTTAAAACGATGTGAAGGCAATAGAAAAGATGCAGAATGGATTTGTGGGAATGTATCTAGGGATGAAGGAATTCAGTTCCATGAGTAAATTGGAGAAGTTGGACCTAGTCACTTCTGATGAGGGAAGACTTGTGATTAAGGTGCTTGAAGCCATGAAGGTTCTGGGCAGAGTGGATGGGGAGAACCTTTCCATTGGTGGTAAGATCAGAGGACACTAATTTAAGGCAAATGGCAGAATAAGTAACACAAACAAGATGTGTTCTGATCTGTGTGTGGTGGAGACAAAGTAAAGGCCTTCAAAGCAAAATTGAATAGTTATTTCAAGAGGAACCAGAGGTGGTTGGAGGAGGCATTGCGATAGACTGGTGATTTTGTCCTGCTGACCATTGCACCACCATGAATTGAAGGGATAAAGTCTATGTAAGACAGGTGGGGGAGCAGAACCAAGGGAGTTTATAGAAATCTGGTGGTCACAACAGGTTGAATGGTTTTTGTCTGTCTTGTAACTATGCTGAGATTTCATCTAACAATTTTAATACAACAGCAAAATCATTCCCAGAATCAGGCAAAAATTGAGACTGGACTACATATGGCATTATTAGGACAACTAATCAAAACTCTGTTTAAATAGCTAGGTAAGAAATGAGGAAGTTCCAGTTTAAACCAAAAACACCAACATGGTGGAATAAATTAAGTGGCAAATCCACAAGTGATAGAGTTGAAATTTGCTCACGAATTTGTTTGATAACTACAAGGAATAATCAGTTTGGAGGCAACTAATGTCATCCTGTAAGTTAGGACTTCTGCATTTCTATGTTCATCATTAATGTTTTTCTTTCCACACAGATTCTTTTCTGCACATTGAATACTCACAGAATTGATATGGACAAACTTCTTGGAGGACAGATAGGCCTGGAAGACTTTATTTTTGCGCACACAAAGGGCCTGAAGAAAGAAGTCGATGTGTTTAAAGCAGAGGATGCTCTGGGACTTACTATAACTGACAACGGGGCAGGATTTGCTTTTATAAAAGTAGGTTTGAATTCTATACCCAAGCAAATGGAGAAAGTAGCACTCGGTTTGCGTCAAGTATAATGTGAAACTTTTCCTGTCAAGTAATTTTGCTTGCTTCTGTTTATTACTTTCCGCCAGTAATACAGTTGCAAATTTTACTGCTGTTGCAAGCCATTTTGAGTTTTACCTTTTCTATCATTGTTGAACAATTTTGTAACCTCTTAAAGCAAAGTTGTACACCATCCTGACTTGGATGGATGTCACTTTTCTTTCGTGTTTGCTGGATCAAGTTCCATCTATTCAAATTCCTCCCTACCTAATTGCAGTGTGGCAGTTCACCATCAAGAGTACTGAGGTGCCAGTTGATTCATTAAGTCATCTTAAGACCAATTAGGAATGGGTAATAAATGCTTATCATGCCAGTGACTGTTGCATCCAGAGAATCGTATTGAAAGTTGAATTAAACTCTATTGTTCTATTGGAAGGGCTCATGCATAGGGTCATAGAGCACAAAAACAGATGCTTCAGTCCAACCATAATCCCAAACTAAACTAGTCCCACCTGCCTGCTCCTCGCCCATATCCCTCCAAATCTTTCCTATTCATATACTTACCTAAGGGTCTTTTAAATGTTGGAACTGTGCCCACATTTACCATTTCCTCAGCAAGTTCATTCCACATGCGAACCACCCTCTGTGTTTTTAAAAAAAAAAAAAAAAAATTGTCCCTCATGTCTTTTTTAAATTTCGCTCCTTAAAAATATGCCCCTCCCCCCGTTCAGGGGAAAAGGCACCTACCATTAACTTATATAAGGTCATCTGTCAACCTTCTATGCTCCATTGGAAGAAGGTCCCAGCTTATCTAGCCTCTCCTTATAACTCAAACCCTACATACTGGGCAGCATCCTGGTAAATTGCTTTTGAACCCCCTCTAGCTTAATATCCTTCCTATAACTGGGCGACCAGAACTGGACACAGTATTCCAGAAGAGGCCTCTGTACAAGTTGTCAATTAACTTCCTTCCCCTTCGATTCTTGCCAATGTTTACACAACTTCCATTGACACTAAAAGTGAATGTGTATTTGATGACACCAGCTTTTGATCAAACCGTTAACTGTTCAGATATATATATTTATAAAGATTGTTAGCTGCAGACTTTGGTATGGTGGGAGTGAAATTTCACCAACACAGGAGAACAAAAGCCACCTTCACCTGTAGAATTTTTGCTTTTTATCGCTACCTCCCCTGAGGTGGCAGTGTTGTGTTAACATGATGATCTTGAAATGGGTGTTGATGTGTTTTGTACTTATGTAAAGGTCAAAACACTTAATGTTGGTAACCCAATGCTAAGCAGATCTGCATGGCAGTATCTGACCTGTTTGGATGTCAAGGCATTTTTTTTTGCACATTGCCCTGGAAACTATATTGTTCCCTGGAAGTGACTGTGTTCATGCTTGGATTGCAAACTTGTCTTCTTTAACAAGGGGAGAGATGACAACACTTGTTTTTAATGATGATCAGGAGTGGACTGCTCTTGGGTCAGGGAAGCAGAATTGATAACTTTGAAAAAGAAATCGGATAACGTCTTGATGAGTAGCTTCCAAGGCTATGGTAGAAAGCAATGGAAACTAATTAGTTGCCATTTCACAGAGCCAGCACAGGTGCAAGGAGCTGAATGGCATATCCTGTGCTCCATATTCCAAGATAAAATCTAAAATTAGAAGTCTCTTTTGTGTCGGTGTACAAGACTGGTTGACTGAAGCTTATAAATTGGAAAAGATGTAATTTAAAACAAAAGTACCCAATTGCACATAAAGGGACTGAAAGTAAAACGTCAGTTCCTTTTGCATGCTCAGTGCAGAAGGAAGTGCCAGAAGGGTTGGGTTTGGGTGTGGATATTTCCAGTAGGCAATCTACTGAGTGAAAAAGCCAGCCGGCAGATCATTGTTGATAGAATAAGCACTGCAAAATGTTGGCAAGGGGAAGGAAGTTGTTACTGCTGTGTTTGCACTGGATAATGACATTTTTTCCTTCGTTATAGCTAGAATAATAATTCTACGTGAAAACAATGGTTGGTTACTCAGTTGTGTAGTTGAATCAATTAGTGTTGGAGGATATATGTCATTAGTTTCCAGAGTAACTTAGAAGATTCACAGTAATGGAGGTAGCTATCCACAGGTTTACTTAGCAAATTGTAATTGACAATTAAATATGTGTTAGATTGTCTAGGTTATAAACTCTTGAGTACTGATAATCATGAAATTCCCACTGGATCAGATCTCAGTGAATTCAGAGATCTATTGTGTAGCCACAACAGTTTTAGATTGCTTCTTTATAAACTGTTCCGTTTTAGTATTACCTAATGTTCCTTTTACGTGCCTCATTAATGATTTCAATTTTGCCGAATATGATTCATTGGTCAAACTTTGAAGACAAAGTTAGTTATGGAGCTACCTAAGACCGTCTCACAGAACTACTCACGATTACTTCGCTAACACATTAAAATGTATTCCTTTTGACAGAAATCACTTTCCAGGATGCCCTTTGTACATAACTGTTTATGTATCAATACAAACACCTAAATACTCTGAAACTGACACAACTGTGAAATTAAAAACAAATCTTGAACAAGATGACATCATGTCTACATGCCCCACCTAACATTTTCCCCTTTCTTTTTCTGGCTTTGGGACAATGGGATGTAAATCTGAATTGTTTAGATGAGCACTTTTGGGTCCTTTAACCAGTTATATATGTCAACTTGTTATGCATCTGTCCTCAGAAACAACTGTTGAGTAGTTGACAAGTTTGTTTGTGGTTATATATCGTAATAGGAAGAAAGCATTCTGTTGCACATTCCTAAAAAAATGTACTTGCCTGATTGCAGTTTATGTAACTGTGTATGATTGTATCCATCAAGGTCTAATACTGGCATTGGAGGTAGTCCAGCAAAAGTTGACTCGACTGATACCGGGTGTGGAAGGACTGTCTTATGAGGAGAGATTGAATAGTTTGGGCCTGTACTTGTTGGAATGAGAGGTGACCTGATTGAAACATCCAAGATTTTTAGAGGACATATTGAGAGTAGATGCAGAAGGGTTATTTTCTCTTGTAGGACGGTCAGGGAGCAGAGGGCATTATCTTAGGATAAGAATTCTCCCATCAGGGACAGATGAGGAATTTCTTCTGAGAGGGTAGTGATTCTGTGGAATGCTTTACTGCAGAGGCCTCTTGAGGCTGATTCATTGAGTATATTCAAGGTTGAGGCACAGATTTAGCCAGTAAGGGAGTGAAGGTTTTTGGAAAGAGGCAGAAAAGTGGAGTTGGTTATGAGGTCTATGTAGTCGCAATGGCAAAACAGGGTCAGTGGGCTGAATGGCCTACTTCTGCTCCATTATGTGTTTGCGAGCCACCATTGGAATGAATGTGTATTGCACTGCCACCTTGTGGCATTTAGAGGCTTATTCCAGACAGTTGTATCACTATTGTTCCTTTAGCATTTCTGATGTGTTCTTAAAGAAAGCCATGCTAATTACTTTCCTATGTATAAACATGTTGTAAAGACGGGTTATGTTTCTGATGTGTATTTTTTACATGAAAGATGTATTGGATGTCTTGAACCTAAATTGACCCAAAAATCATCCTCCCAATACTTAGTGATTCTTAACTTTTTTTCTACTCATCCATTTCCTGGCTCATCCCTCTCACTTCGGGTGAGGTCCTGGGGGAGCTGGCTGAAGGAGGCAGCAAGTGGGAGGATCGAGGTACAGAACTGAGGAAGTGACAGTTTGTTTTTCAGAAAGTGACCATGCTTTTCAAAAAAAGGATGGAGACAGTACTGTTTAGGAAATAGCCCTAATTTACTGACTACGCCTAAGTAGATAAAACCTATCATTGAAGGTCTGCATGACATTTTAAAATTTTTACATGTTAATTGTGACTGTTGTTAGTGTAGTCATTCTTCTTCCCCCTACCGTCTCAGCAGATTGTGTATCTGAGAGAAACAAGCACAGCCTAGCTCACAGCTTGTTACCAGTTGGAATCAGTTGATTATAATCAAGACTAGTCTGAGATGCTTCCTCCCTAGTTCAATACGGTATTGGAGATTTTGGTACCTCTTAAATTTGGAGACTGAGAATTAGGATTAACACCATCTTGCACTGAGTCCAACTTCTTTATTTTGAATTGAAGTTTTTAAATGTTAAACAGAATGGTTTGTACTATACAATAATGTGACTCTCAAATTGTCTGAGATGGTCAATCTGGGATAATTGTAGGTTACTTAAGAATTGATCTTTGACAGAGATTTTGCTGCTTGGTTCACCACGAATATTCTCATCAATATACATCTCCTCTTGTCTGTTTTCTTGGGGAAATTTGTTGAAAGAAATGCTTTATTCAAACATGATTACATACAGCATGGTGAGTTGGTTAGATTCTCTGTCTCAATGAATTATGTAGTTTAAATCACACAGAAATGGGTTGCTTAGCATCACCTGTCCTTGCTGATGTTTAAGTTTCATTTGTCTCCTTCCACTTTTCCTGCTCTAAATCTGCCATCTTTTCAAACATTTATTTCAATATATCCTCCATTCTCTTTGCCTCCATATACCTGTCTAACTTTAAAGCATCTGCACTCATCACTCCCAGAGAAACAGAGCAGTTCATATTTTAAAATTCATTTGTGTGATATGGACATGGCTGGCTCAGCCTGCATTTACTATCTATCCCTAATTTCCCTGGAGGAGCCAGTGGTGAGCTGCCTGCTTGAACTGCTGCAGTCCTTGGGGAATAGGAGCACTCACAGCTGTTAGAAAGAGAGTTCTGACGCAGCGACTGTGAGGAAAAGGTGATATAGTTTCAGGCCAGGATGGTGTGTGTCTAAGAGGGGAATTCCCAGGTGTGATATTCCCATCTGTTGCTCTTGCTCTTACCGATGATGGAGGTCGTGAGTTTGGCAGGAGTTGTCAAAGGAGGCTTGGTGAATTCATGCACTGCATCTTGTAAATGGTGCATACTGCTGCCGCAATGCATCAGTGATAAAGAGAGTTCACGTTTGAGGATGGCTGATGAGGTGCCGATCAAGCATTGTTCTGAATGGTTTTGAGCTTTGTGTGTTAAACGTACTGGAACCATTCAGGCAAATAGAGAGTATTCCATCACAATTATACCTTGCATATTGTTGCAAGCATTGGGGAGACAGGCTATAAGTTACCAACTGTAGAATCTTAGCCTCTGACCAGCTCTTCATAGTAATACCATTGAACAGCAAAGCTTTTATTACCAAAGGAATAGAGTGTAAAAGTAGGAGAGTGTTTCTGCACCCATACAAGGTAGTAGTGAGATAACACTTGGAGCATACAATTTTGATCCCCTCCAGAGGGAAAGGGTTTTACTTATGAAGAGAGATTGAGCAGCTTAGGCCTTAATTCTGGAGTTTAAAAGAATGAGAGACGATCTAACTGAGCTATGCAAGATGCTAAAGAGGATTGACAAAGTAGACAGAGTGGATGTTTCTTCATAGGGTAATCGAGAACAAGAGGTCGTAATTTCAAGAAAAGGGATAGCAGATTTCAAACATGACGAGAATTTACTGAAGAGAACAGCATAAGACCATAAAATACAGAACCAGAATTAAGCCATTGGGCCTATCAACTCTGTTTTGCCATTTGATCATGGCTGATATGTTTCTCAACCCCATTCTTCTGCCTTCTTCCCATAACCCTTGGTCCCCTTACTAATCAAGAACCTATCTATTTCTGTCTTAAATACACTCAATGCCTTGGCCTCCAGAGCCTTCTGCAGCAATGAGTTTCACAGAATTGCCACCCTCTGGCTGAAGAAATTCCTCCTCATCTCAATTCAAAAGGCTCATCCCATCATTCTGAGACTGTGCCCTTGGGTCCTAGTCTCTCTTACTAGTTCTCTCAAAGTCTCTGGAGTTGAACTACCCCAGAGTGTGGTGGCTGCTGGGGCATGGGTAAATTTGATGAAATATAATTTTAATTTGTAATGGTTGAAAAGTAATGGGTAGGAAAGTGCAGTTGAAGCCGACATGAGAAAAGCCTTGATTTTATCAAATGGTGAGCTGGCTCGAGGAGCTGAATTGTCTATTCCAAATTCTAGTTCATATGTTCTTAGATTTGATTTGTTGATTGGATCATTATTCTACCATGTCCATGGCAGGAAAGTATGCAAAAAAGATTTACAAGGATATTATTGAGACTGGAGGGTTTGAGTTATGAGGAGAGGATGGACAGGCTGGGACCTTTGTTCATGGAGCATAGGAGGCTGAGTGCTGACCATATAGAGGTTTATAAAATCATGAGCAACATAGATTAGGTGAATAGCCAAGGTCTTTTCCCCAAGTTAGAGCAATCCAAAATTGGAGGGCATAAGTTTTTAAGGTGTGGGGAGAAAAAATTAACAGTACTTGAGCAGCGGATTTTTCTCACAGGAGGTGGTTTTTATGTGGAATGAATTGCCGGAGGAAGTGGTAGATGCAGGTACAGCTACAACATTTAGAAGACGTTTGGATAGGTACATAAATAGAAAAGGTTCAGAGAGACACGGACCAAATGCAGGCAAATGTGACAAGTTTAGTTTCGGAAACCTAATTGGCATGGCCAAGTTATGCTGAAGGGTCTGTTTCCGTGCTCTGACTATATTGCACCTCATTTTGACAAATGCTGTTGCTGGCATTCCTGTCTACACTCTTCATTGAAACAGGATTGATTTCGCATCTCAGTGATAATACTGAAGTGGGAGATATGCAATACTGAAGTGGGAGATATGCAATACTGAAGTGGGAGATATGCAATACTGA